GCCCTTTTTTGTTGCGGAGTCGTTAAAATTGACGGAAGTGTGATGTGAATCCGGTGTCAAAAAAAGAGACAATCAGAGAGACAATCAGGCGTTTCATGAAAGCATTCGCTCAAAGGATTTTTGAAATTTTTCTTTAAAAACTTTACATTTGATATTCCAAGGATGTGTTTTTTCTATCAAAATTTTGAATTTTTATCATTTTTATCATTTTAGACTTAAATTGACTCTATTCTGTGTTTCGGTGCGGAAATTTGCTTTTTTGGACTTATTTTTGATGTTGCAACGATTTCATGTGATATTTCTGATATTTGTGACAAAGAGGAACGCGTTGTTGTTCTTTGTCACATCGGATCCTGTCTTTATCTTTGTCAAAAACTTTATCCCATGGGAACTATGGGATCAACAATTCTGTTGTTTTTTTTCTATCTTACATGAGCATAAGAAAAACGAGCTGTTTACTGAGAGGAGCTAAGTTTTGGCTAGCTTTCAATCTAGCTTCTCAATGAATATGTTGGGAATCTAATAGTTATTCTAAATCATTTCCCACAGATTATTTATTTGTTAACTACAGGGTGCGTCAAAATTACTCATACACACTCTGGAGGGTATAGCTCATTCAAAAGATAACCGATTCCCACAAAAATTTTACAGATAAATGTTGAATGGGTCTCCTGTAGCAGTGTACCCATTATCTAACCGATAGGAACTCACAAACTTTTCAAACAAGCTCTCAAAGTTGGGAGTCGCACTTAGGCTGGCTACTATAGTTAATTTTGCTTTACATAACTTGCACGGATACACCAAAATTCTAAGATTTCTCATTTTGCCTCATAAAATCCCAAATCCAATCATCGCTTGCTCTTTTGTTTTGGAAAAGACTCACATAAAGTGACAAATATTTGTGATCAAGCGAAACAAGGCTTTGCATTACTTTGTAGCTTATCTAATCCATATAACTTCTCAAAATTTCTCATGAATTCTTTTACTATTTTGTTCTTGGCTTTATAAAATAGCTTAAATAGCCTAAAAAGCTTAAAAATCATTGCCTTTAATGAATGGAAAAAGTACTAAAATAGCTTTTAGCTTTGAATTTTAAATTTCATGGCTACTGTGGCGAATTGCCACTGCTCTGCAGTTAGTCAAAATTCAATATACAAGAGTTAAGATTCAAAGTTGATGGATAAACTATCGTAATCAGCCACTGGACGATATTCAGTTGTCCGTTTGTCGTAGCTTGTGTACTTAAAAACCCATTATTTGAGCTTTTTTTTTGAGTCATTTGTGTGCTCCCTTTTCTATTCATCCCTTGTTTTCACACGCAAGTGTTGAAGTGTTGAAGTGTTGAAGTAATGGTGATAGTGCCAGGTTGCTCCAGTTTGAGCGAAGTTTGCCCTAATAAGGGAAAGTTTTGATAAAGATTTGTTCCTTTTCTCTACAGATTTGATTCCTGGAGTGTGATAGTGCCAGGTTGCTGATAGTGCCAGGTTGCTCCAGTTTGAGCGAAGTTTGCTAAGGGAAAGTCTTGATAAATTGTGCGTTTTCAAGACATCTACCATTGAACCACAAGAAATTATAAAGTAGAACAATTCTCACAAGAAATTATAAAGATCAAAGTATAAATATATTTCTTACAGCTACTTCACGTATGACTATTCATAAAGATTTCAAAATCCACACCTTAGTCATCATGCAAATTCCTCAATCGGCCCTTTTCTTGACCTCGAAAAGCGATTACAACAAGGATTTCACGAGATGTGGTCATTTGCTTTTTCTTGCGCGTTTCTGTGAAAGAAGAATTGCTTTGACCACCCGGTGTCTGGGGTTTTGAGTGAAGGGGGAGTGAAAGAAAAGAAAAGAAAAGAATTTGGTGAGTCACACACCCTAGGAAGAAAGGGATCGGCACAGGGGACAGCACTCATTTCTGTCATTCAATCCTTGACACTCAAATGTTTCAGATTATGTTTTGTCTATGTTTATGTCTAAACTCTTCACTAAACTCTTTCTAGATCATAATTTACCATAAATAGAAGCCAATACTTTAATAGAAGCCCCGCCCCCTCCCCCTTCTATAGGCGCGTCGCGTAATCTAAGTTTACTCTCAAATAAACGCTCATATCTTGACACCGGTACGTTTGTTTCGACGCGCTTTAGTATCAAATTAAAGTAGAGAAAATGGGTGATTTTTTGAGATATAACACATATTTCTAGCATTAACCAGCGCTAAGAAAAAAATGATTAAAAAGTGGCGAAAAAAAAGGCGGATTCACTGATGTTCTCTGTTCTTTTCTACAATAGTTAGTATAACAATTACAAAACTTATTAAACAGATAAAACCTTAAATAGGTTTACCTAGAGCCTAGACCAGAACGATATTTCCAAATTTTTTAGCTATTATTGCAAAATTTTATTCCAAATTTATCTAAATTAGGCAATTTATGGCAACTTTTTGGCAAATTTGCATTTATAGCTCAAATAAAACGATCCATCTTTAATCATTTTTATTCTTCATTTCATTTATTCTCATTTCTTTTCTGATTTCTTTAAAAGCTTTCTTATTTGTTAAGTTTGAAGTCTTAACTTGTTTTTTAACTTTTCAAAGTACTGTAGAATTATCGAGAACCAGCGGAACCAGTTTTACGATCTAAGTTCGCGATCTAAGTCCTGCCCCTTTTTGCCAATGGCTGCGCACAGACGAACGGACGGACAGACGGACAGACAAACAGATGGAGAGACAAACAGATGGACAGACGGACAGATGAATAGCCGGACAGACGGACGGCCGGACAGACGAATAGCCAGACAGACGAATAGACGAATAGACGAACAGACGGGCAGACGGACAGACGGAAAGACGGATAGAAGAACAGACGAACAGACGAACAGGCGGACAGACGAACAGACGAATAGACGAACAGACGAACAGACGGGCAGACGGACAGACGGACAGACGGAAAGACGGACAGACGAACAGACGAACAGGCGGACAGACGAACAGACGGACAGACGAATAGACGATCAGACGAACCGATGGACAGACGTCTCTTCTGCTTTATATCTAGTAGATACTGTAGCTTGGCCAAAGATATAGTTCCTTAAGAAAAATTACATTTCTCTAATCTAATTTCCGTTCAAATACCAGCATAGGGATGGACTCAAAATCCCAAAATGACCTTATTTCTGTAAATACCTATTTTCCCCTCAAATCTCCCCATAAAACCGTCTCATTTCAATGTCCTAATCCGAGCCGAGAATGAAAAATGGCGTCATTTCTCATTCACCACCAAAAAACGATTCGATGAGTAATGAAAGATGAATGGTTGGCTTTTTTGCTGACATTTATCGGTGTTCATTTATTCTTTATATTCTTGAATACTTGATTGTTTTATTGATTGTTTGTTGTTGTTGTTGTTGTTGAATTGTTTGTTGATTGAATCCTTGATTGTTTGTTGATGCTTTGGAAATTCACTGATCAGCTTTCAGGTTCAAATTCCTTTGGTTCAAATTGGGGAAATGTTACGGGATTTTTTCACCGTATTGCGATTTTTATTGCTTCTGATAGGGATGGGTCACGCGTTCTACAGACACAATCATATCACGGTGAGTGAAATGCTTTGGAGATCTTTGGAGATCGTAAAATTTCAAAATTCTGAATCACCAGTAAAACAATTCGAACTTTAGCTGCATTTTCTACAAATTCTAGAAATAAAAATCAGCTTAGCCATTGAAAGATTCATTGAAAGATTGAAATATCACTTGCAATCTTGAAAATGAAATGCTTGAAATGCTTGAAATGCTTCATTACGAGTTATTGAATGTTTTTGTTCTTCTTGAAGTATTTCGTCATCAATTTCCAAAGAAATATCTAGTTTCGATGCCTTTTACTGAGCCGAATATCTCTTGCAAACTTCGAATCCCTGCAGTTACAACATTTCCATCAATAAAGACAAATTCTAAAGCTGTTTTAAGAAAATCGGCATCACATTCCGCGGCCAATTGATCATCAGCCAATTGATCTCAGCTAGGAGTTAAGGTTTCAGTTATTTGAACTCCAGTGTCACCGTCTAATTCTCTAACTCCAGTCTCTAAAAAAGACTGTTAAAGAAGACTTTTGAATGAATGATCACCGCGTTCGCTTCCGGATCTGGACTAGAATAGTTCATATCCGGAAAGAAGACTAGCCGTAAAGAGTAAACAGATTAAGGAGTATGGAGTAGACGGACTAAGGAGTAAGGAGTAAACGGATATGGACTAGAATTTGGGATTTGGACTAGAATTTGGGTTAAGTTAAAGAGAGTGGATCCCCTTTAAATATCCTGCCATCTCTAACACCCCAACAACCCGACTCAACTCCTCCAGGGTATTAGAGAGGAGTCTCTGTGAAATCACCGACCTCAGCTGCAGTTTCATAGACCCAGAAGATACATATCTTACAGTAGTACGATACGACGAATAGATTACAAACGAGTGAAAGAGTAGGGCGTGAAAGAGTTGAGTAGGGCGACTCCAAAATATCAGTTTAGCTGACAACAGTTGATTTTCTTTATTGACAAAAGAATTTTCTTTTCTTCACCAGTATTTTTACCGTATTCTATGCAACATTGCTTTTTCCATTTCCCTTATTTTTCCATTTCTCTTCCAGACAATCAGAGCGTGCAAAAAGTGCAAAAATTTCGAATGAATGAACCAAAAAAAAAATGAAAAACTAAAGAGAAAAGACCCGCCCTTGAGCCTTTTCAATCTTTTCAATCTTTTTGCTTTTTTTTATTCAAAAAGAATCCGCCCATCTCTTATTACCAGCAATCTCTAAATGGAATGATCGTAAGAAAAAAAGAAAAAGAAAGAAAAAGAAAGAAAAAGAGATTTTAAAAGGATTATTTGCGAAAGGGAACACGTCTGTTCTCATTTTCACAGATTTCTGAAATCTATTTCCGTTGGGGGCCCACTCAAAGAACTGGATCCCAAATCTGGATCCCAATCTGAGATCTTTTCATTTATTTGAAATGATGAAATCTTACTTGACTTCTTTATTCTCTACAATCACCATATTTTCTAGCGGAATTTGCACAAAAAATGAGATCAGTGTGGGTTTTTTTTGTGAAGCGATTGTGAAGCGATTGAGCGACTTTTGCTTTGCAACTTTCTACAAGAAAGTTCTTTTTCAAGTACAAAAGTCGACAGTTAAGCTGTTTGGCTATTAATTTTGGATTTCCTTTTCTCTTGACGTCTATTCTATAAAGCAAACGGCTAACTTTCATCCAAACAGCTTATTTTTTATAGAATTTGATGAGAAACACGTTTCATAGTCAATTTTGGCTGATTTGATGTAAATTTTTATCAAATTTAGGCGGATTTGAAGTAATTTTCTTTCAAATTTAGGCGGATTTGATGTAAACTAACAGCTTGATTACGATAGTTTGCTTAAAAGACTTTTTGGAAAGAAGCTTATTACTCAAAAGGGACACCGTTTGATGGGACAATCAATAAAGGGACAATCAATAGAGAGACAATCAATAAAGGGACAATCAATAAAGAGACAATCAATAAAGAGACAATCAATTTATTCAATCCATTAGAAATCGGCTTCAATCAATGTTCTCTTCAAGGAAAAGCTTTGGATTCATTTTTAGACTGATAAAGGGCAAAGGTTACGCTAGATTTGCACTGATAAAGTGCAAATTTGCACTGATAAAGTGCAAGTTTTACTTTTCTTGCATAGATTTGTAGATTTGTAGATTCTAGATTTGTAGCTTTGTAGGTAGATTTGCCATTGTTACATCAAAAGGCTCTTGTTCTAAGACGAGTTTATGTGGATTTTGTTCAAGATTCTCGGTCTTTTTGCACTTTATTGTACAAAAAAAACTCGTTTAACCAACCACTATTGATGTGTTATCTGTATTTGACTTTAAATAGACTTGTTAACGAGGCTTAACGAGGCTTCAAGTTTGACCAGTCATTTCAGCGCACTGAAAGTTGCTAGCAATATGGAACTTTTTCTATCAGAAAGCCTAAATTATGAGCTTCATTTTGAGACCAAACATTCAACAAAAATCTTCAAAAAAAAACTCTAAGGAGGTTATTGATACTTAACGAGGCCTTAACCAGGCCTTAACCGAAGCCTTAACGAGGCTTTAACGAGGCCTTAACAAGGTCTTAACGAGACCTTAACGAGGCCTTAACGAGGCCTTAACGAGGCCTTAACCAGGCCTTAACGAGGCCTTAACGAGGCCTTACCAAAGCCTTAACGAGGCCTTAACAAAGCCTTAACGAGGCCTTAACGAGGCCTTAACGAGGCCTTAACGAGGCCTTAACGAGGCCTTAACCAGGCCTTAACGAGGCCTTAACGAGGCCTTAACGAGGCCTTAACGAGGCCTTAACGAGGCCTTAACGAGGCCTTAACGAGGCCTTAACGAGGCCTTAACGAGGCCTTAACGAGGCCTTAACGAGGCCTTAACGAGGCCTTAACGAGGCCTTAACGAGGCCTTAACGAGGCCTTAACGAGGCCTTAACGAGGCCTTAACGAGGCCTTAACAAAGCCTTAACGAGGCCTTAACGAGGCCTTAACGAGGCCTTAACCAGGCCTTAACGAGGCCTTAACGAGGCCTTAACAAGGCCTTAACGAGGCCTTAACGAGGCCTTAACGAGGCCTTAACGAGGCCTTAACGAGGCCTTAACGAGGCCTTAACAAGGCCTTAACGAGACCTTAACGAGGCCTTAACGAGGCCTTAACGAGGCCTTAACCAGGGCCTTAACGAGGCCTTAACGAGGCCTTAACGAGGCCTTAACGAGGCCTTAACGAGGCCTTAACCAGGCCTTAACGAGGCCTTAACAAGGCCTTAACGAGGCCTTAACGAGGCCTTAACGAGGCCTTAACGAGGCCTTAACGAGGCCTTAACAAGGTTTCGTGAAGGGTAGTATTTTTAAGGTTTATTATGACTTTTTGAGTACTATTTTAAAGAATTTTGCTGAATATTTAGTATCAAAATGAAGCTAATAATCTTGGCTTTCTAACCAGAAAAGTTTCAAATTGCTAACAACTTTCAATGTGCCGATGTTCGAACGGGAGCAAGAGCAACCCCAAGATATCGTTAGTCATGTCTAACTTTAACCGACTACTTGCACGAATTCAAATAACCAGAAATGTGAAAGGATTCAAATTGAACAAACAAATCGCTCGTTCATAAACAAAATCCAAACAAAACCTGCAAAAATAGCGTGAATTCTGATTGCAAGGGGATCCGAACCCGCGAGGAATAATTCCGCAATCGAGCACACTATCCGATAGACCACGCGGTCATCTCTCATAACCGATGACGGAAGGCTTACATCATCGAGTAAATTTTTCGCGCTTCCAATTTTCAAACGTGTTTTTACCCGGGTTAAAGGGCCGATTGAATTGATTTTAAAAATGGGTTTTGCTCAGAACTTTGCGTAGAATCCGATGCACTAGGTCTCGTAGCTTAACTCGATGCTAATTTGGAACAAAAGTCAGATTGAACGATCGCTTGTTCAAAAACAATAGCAAACTTGAGCACTGACTAAAAAAAGATCCGGGATGAACGCATTTTAACAAGATATAAGCATGTTTGGGAAAGAAAAGATATTCAGGCAAGACAAGAATTGTTAAAAGTCATGATTTCACGTTTTTTTCTTACTTTAAACTGGGTATTTAGCTGATTTAGCTGATTATTCAGCACAAATTCTCAAGAAACTTTTTATCGAATAGTTTTAGATCGAACTGACCACAGCCGATTGTTTATATGCGGACACGACCGAGCCAATTTTCATTCAATTTTTCGTGCTCAACGACCGAGAAATCGTGGAGAAAAGCGAGAAATTCGCGTTGACAAAAAGGGGTGACGTGATGAAGAGAGGAGAGACGAGCCTCTTCCACATTCACAAGGGAAGCGGCTATTGCAAAGAGGTTCGAGAAGATTTGTTCAAGATTTGCTCAAGAAAATATAGAAAATATCGAATTTGGTTAAAATGTTTGAATTAAGTTCAGATTTCAGTGTTTTTTTGTGTTCAAATTTCAAATTTCAGAAGCAACTCTGCACGAATCTTTCCTTTGTTGGACTTTTCGCTGGCGAGAAAGGCAACGAGCATGTCGGGTTCGACACATGGAACGCTAACAATATCACCATCACTTTTCATTTCGACAATCAGATTCACAAGTGGGTTTTAGCATTGATTTATAGCAAATCGCTGCGTGTAGAAAATGTAGAAATTCTCTAAAATTTAGTCGCTCTCTGGCTCTAATAAAGTGATGATAAGAAGTAGAGTGTGTTCCTTGCGAGTAGGTAATTACTCGAGTCAAAATTTGCATAAGTAATTCCCACTCGATTAATCGACGTTTCTGGTCGAGTAACTACGAGTAATCCTCTTTACACGTCGAGTAAATTGAATATCTTTACATTTAAAGGGGATTTACCACCAAATCAGTTAAACAGCTGAATATCTTTAAAAGGAGTCGTATATAAGGCGCCGGCTTGTAGATAAGGCGGTGTTCGTATATAAGGCGGCACTCGTATGTAAGGCAGCGTTCGAATCTGAAGCGGAGCTCGTATATAAGCCGCCGGCTCGTATATAAGCCGCCGGCTCGTATATAAGCCGCCGGCTCGTATATAAGCCGCCGGCTCGTATATAAGCCGCCGGCTCGTATATAAGCCGCCGGCTCGTATATAAGCCGCCGGCTCGTATATAAGCCGCCGGCTCGTATATAAGCCGCCGGCTCGTATATAAGCCGCCGGCTCGTATATAAGCCGCCGGCTCGTATATAAGCCGCCGGCTCGTATATAAGCCGCCGGCTCGTATATAAGCCGCCGGCTCGTATATAAGCCGCCGGCTCGTATATAAGCCGCCGGCTCGTATATAAGGCGGTGTTCGTATATAAGGCAGCACTCGTATATAGGGCAGCACTCGTATATAGGGCAGCGTTCGTATATAGGGCAGCGTTCGTATATAGGGCAGCGTTCGAATCTAAAGCGGGGCTCGTATATAAGGCGGTGTTCGTATATAAGGCCGTGTTCGTATATAAGGCGGTGTTCGAATCTAAAGCGGAGCTCGTATATAAGGTGCCCCGTCCCTTTGCCATTGGCAATCCAACTTTGAGCTCTAATTTCTTGGTGTTGGGTGGTCCAATTTAAATAGTTTTTGTACCAATCGACAGATAAAGACTTGGCACATCTGAGGATAACAAGAATATTTAAATTAAAATAACTCGACACCAAGATATTTAAGCTCAAAGTTAGATTGCTAATGGCAAAAGGGGGGGGGGGCGTATCAAGTGTCCGATCACCCGAGGAACACACTCTAATCATTAGCCTTTTTAGTTTAACATTGTAAACTAGATCTGCTACTATGCATGAAAGCTTTAAATTTAAATAAAAAAGGCATTTTATTTATCAAATAACTTTTAGCTACAATTTCGACTTCAGTCCAGAGGGCGGAGACTGCATTCGACCGTTGCACTTTTGGTCACCCGAGTTTTGGCACAGGTTTATCATCAAATTTGTATACCTATTTCTCGAATTTTTTAGATAGCACTTAAAAAAGATATTTAGTTTTGATAAATACTTATCGAAATCTTGTTCTAAATCTAAATCGATGTTCAAACTTCAGATATGGTCCAGGAGCCGAGTTTGAGGAACGAGCAGAAGAGTACTCGATCGGCGAAACTGTCATGAATCCCACATATCTCTTTTTCTAATTGAAACAAGAAAAACGATTTCTTTGATCTTTGATCTTTGATCATTTTCTATAGCTTTAATTGAATATCTCTATCGAATTCTAGTCATTTCATATCATCTTTGAAATTTACGTGTACTCCACGCATTATTCTCTCTTTTTCTCTCTCCAATTGTTAATGGTGCTTAAATTGAGGTTAAATCATTTTCTTTAGCGTTTTCTTTAGCATTTTCTTTCATTTTCTTTCTTTTTCTTTCTTTTCTTTAGCATTTTCTTTCTTTTCTTTCTTTTCTTTCTTTCTTTCTTTCTTTCTTTCTTTTCTTTCTTTTCTTTGTTACCCTACAACCCTACAATACCCTACAATTCTTGCTGGCTATTTAATCAGTTGTTAATGATGTTGAATTTTATTCTGGATAAATTGTTCGACGACAAAAATTGAATGGCTGTCTTGAATGACTGAACGGTGTCTGGCTGAAAGATTGAAAAGTAATTTGTTCGCTAAAACGTTTCGGAAATTACCGTAATCTTTTTATTTAATCTTTTATTCAGATTCAATGAGAAATCAAACTGCAAATAGAAGCGAATCAAAATTAAGTAGAACGGGCAAAACCTGAAGAAAAGATTCCGATTACGATTACGATAGTTTTTCAAATTATCTGCCTCTTAGAAAGCAGACTTGAGTCAAAAGTGTATGGTGAATGTCTCTTAAAGAAAATCAAAAATTAGCCACTCAAAAGTTTAAAAAGACAGAAAGAAAAAAGCAAGAGTAGGGAAGCTTTTTTTGGGTTCCAGTTTTACAAAACACTAGCAGAGTCTAGTTGCAATATTATTAGTTTTATTAAACAGAATTTTTTTTGACGGGAATTTGCCACCAAATCAGTTCAACGGTTGAATATCTTTAAAAGGAGTCGTATATAAGGCGGCACTCGTATGTAAGGCAGCGTTCGAATCTAAAGCGGAGCTCGTATATAAGGCGCCGGCTCTTATATAAGTCGACGCTCGTATATAAGCCGAAGCTCTTATATAAGTCGACGCTCGTATATAAGCCGATGCTCTTATATAAGTCGACGCTCGTATATAAGCCGACGCTCTTATATAAGGCGGCACTCTTATATAAGTCGACGCTCGTATATAAGCCGACGCTCATATATAGGCCGGCGCTCATATATAAGCCGACGCTCGTATATAAGCCGACGCTCGTATATAAGCCGACGCTCGTATATAAGCCGACGCTCGTATATAAGCCGATGCTCTTATATAAGTCGACGCTCGTATATAAGGCGGCACTCTTATATAAGCCGACGCTCGTATATAAGCCGACGCTCGTATACAAGCCGATGCTCTTATATAAGTCGACGCTCTTATATAAGCCGACGCTCGTATATAAGCCGACGCTCATCAACTCCCATTCTAGGCATAAATCACCAATATATCCTTCCCAACTCGGATGATCTCGGTCAAGAATCATTAAACTCCCAAAATCAGGGCGCAAATCGAATATATTTTACAATAAATTTGACTTATTCATCTTGTAAAAGTCTTCTAGGGTTCAGTTGGAAAATCCAAGTTCTATTAGGTGTGTGAAAAAGAAATCCACGTTTTTAACGTTTAAATATAAAAGACCATAAGTTTCGTTAAAATAATTTTTATTCCACGAAGTAATCACCATTCTAAAGAAAAACCTTTTGCCAACGTTCTACAAGTAAAGACATTCCACGATAATAAAAATCTTGGTCCTTAGAGGCGAAGAAAAAATCAACCTCGGTTTTGACATCTTCTTTGGAATTGAACCGTTTATTGGCCAAAAAGTTAGACAGAGACAAAAATAAATAATAATCAGATGGAGAAAGGTCTGGACTATAAGGTGGATGTGGTAAAACCTCCCATCCAACAGTCTGGATTTTTGTCGAGTCTGTAAAGAGACATGTGGTCGCGTGCCATCGTTCATGCGGTATCCATTTGTCCAACTTTTTGATAAAATTCATGGCATTCAAGCGTTTCCTTACGGTTGACCCATCACAATTTAATGTAAGGTCTATTTCTGAAGAGGTTGAACGAGGGTTTTCGAGAAGACAGCGTCTATTTGGTCATCAGAACAGGTCTCCGCCACGTGGTTCATCTTCTAGGGTTTCATTACCACCTTTGAATCGTCGGAACCAAAACCTAGCGGTATCATCAATAACGGCATCTTCGCCAAACGCATTCCGAATTCGATGTGCAGCCTCCGCAGCTTTCAACCCATTTTTGAACTCATAAAGCAAATTTGACCGAATAACGATACTTGTGTATACCATTTTCAAACTAAAATGAAAGTAGTTTATTGTCGTCCTTTTAACAAACTGAATATATCATTCGAAAGAGGAAAAAATAAGCTTTTAAAGCGATATATATATCGTTAACAAAAAAATTAAAAATTGTTTAGATAGGGGCCCTCATGGTGTATTGGTTAAGTTCTCACTTCCAAACTGAGGGTGTTGGGTTCGGCCCCCCTAGGGTTCTCTTCCCTAGCCCGTGCGCCCAGACTAGAGGTGTCTTCTCTAGAGCTGACTAGAGATCCCTTCTCTAGCGGAGTTCACTCTTCCACTGGGTTGGCCCATTCATGGCCTGAGGTTATTAAAGCAAGAAGCCTATCTTCTATCTATCTTCTTTTCTCCCCGCCTCCACATCGCCGGGTAAAATATCTCATCTTTCTCTATGTATTTATGTGTAGATTTGTGTATTGTCTGACTGATTACGCTTTATTTCATGTCCTGAATAAAGTATCAATATCATATATTTATTTGAAAAAAATAAAAATAAAAAACGTCGATTACTTTTTCACAAACCTAATAGAAATTCCAAGAAATCCAGAAAATCCAGAAAATGTTCAAAATCGATTCTGAATTTATCAATAAACAACCATATTGAATATACAATTTTACTAGAAATCAAGAAACTTTTAGAATCTTTACGGGGTAGACGATTCACCATCCCGCCTATGAGTGATTGATGAGAAAGCGCTGGCTACAAACCAACAAAGTAACGAAAAAGGAAAAAAGAAAGGGAGAAGAGAAAGGAGAAGAAAAGAAAAAGCATTCAATAGAAATCAGGAAAGGTAATAGAAATTGGACAAGAGATGGGAAAGAGGGAGAACAGCCGCTCCACTCCTCGATCATGTCCTTCTCCTTACCCATTCTCTTTACCCATTCTCTCGCCATCTCCTTACCCAATTTTACCCAAAGATCCAGGACTTGGCAACTGATTTTGTTCAACGTTCTAACGTTATTATTTTTGTTTTTCAACTAAACATTATTATTTTTTTGATTTAAACTCGCAAAGAAGAGTGATTTTTAAGTTAAATCAAAAACTTTCTCGAGATTTTCAAAAGATTTTTGTTTACTTTCCTATCCAGTATTATTTTAGACCTTAAAAGCAGTTTAACTTTTAAAATTTTCAACTTTAAAAGCACTAAAATTGAAATTAATTGAGCAATTTTACTTTAAGAAAAAGAACTATCATTAATTTTTAATCAACATGTAATTTAGCTTCGAGATTATAAAAGTTTTTGTTTTTTTTTCTTTCTTTTCAGATCAAACTATCTCTAATGTTTCTAATTTTACTATCTTTTTCTGTTGCTAAACGAGGTTATCGGCGACAAAATCTAATATTTTAGAGATTTTGAAAGCTCTACAACTCTGCACACTTTAAATATTCCTTGAAATTCAGAAATGGCCACAGAATCCCCGGAAACGAGTATTTATCAAGGACCAGCTTTTCCCTTTCCTCCACCAGCGCCATGCGAAGGATTTCTGTGCTATTATGAAGGTGGGATTGATTGAATATCAAATTTAACATTAAAAAGTATTGAAATATGATCAGAGAAGTAGTCTAATCCAGTGGCTTGTGGCTTGATCTGGGTTTGCCCAGCCTAGCTTTAAAACAGATCTAAACCTAGTACTAGAGCTAAACCTAGTACTAGAGCTAAACCTAGTACTAGAGCTAAACCTAGTACTAGATCTAAACCTAGGACTAGATCCAAACCTAGTACTAGATCTAAACCTAGGACTAGATCCAAACCTAGTACTAGATCTAAATCTAGTACTAGACCTATACCTAGTACTAGACCTATACCTAGTACTAGATCTAAACCTAGTACCAGACCTGTTGTTGTTGATAAACCTAAGTCATAATAATAGTAAATCGTGCAGAAACAATGCAAATTAGGGAAGCAGATCTAAACCTAGTACCAGACCTATACCTAGTACTAGATCTAAATCTAGTACTAGATCTAAACCTAGTACTAGAGCTAAATCTAGTACAGAAACAATGCAAATTAGGAAACCATGGTACTTTAAAAAAGAAATGTAAGCACAAATGCTTGAAAGCCATGTTTTTTCAATGTTTTTATTGCTCGAATATTTCAAAAACAGTCAGAAAATCGATGATCGGCTTTCCCGTCAGAAAATCCCTTTGCATTACTTACTAAAAATCTTCGATTCAGCTGGAAACAATTATTTCACATCTTCGATGATATGGAAGCTGTTGATCTCATTATCGATTAGTGAGTTGTCACAGAAAGAACTTTGAAAAAAGAAAAGAAACGTTTAGTTTTGATGATTTTGATCATTGTGGCCAGTGTGATCATTTGCACAAATTGTGGTTGCGGGAAGAAGAAAAAGAGGAGAAATTCCCGGTTTGTTCTCAAAATTGATCGGTTTTACGCTAAATTTATTAGCAAAACTGTGCAATGCATTTTCACCATAAAACTCAAAACACTAACTTAGCCTCGAGGAGCTCGAGCCGTTAGACTGAAAGTCCCGAAATCCTGGGTCCATTACCTGGGTGCCTGGGTGCCTGGGTCCATTGTCTGGGTCCATTGCCTGGGTCCATTGCCTGGGTGCCTGGGTCCATTGTTTGGGTCCATTGCCTGGGTCCATTGCCTGGGTGCCTGGGTCCATTAAGGGGGCGCCTGGGTCGATTACCTGGGTGCCTGGGTCCATTGCCTGGGTGCCTAGGTCCATTGCCTGGGTCCATTGCCTGGGTGCCTGGGTCCATTGCCTGGGTCCATTGCCTGGGTCCATTGCCTGGGTCCATTGCCTGGGTCCATTGCCTGGGTGCCTGGGTCCATTGCCTGGGTGCCTGGGTCCATTGCCTGGGTGCCTGGGTCCATTGTTTGGGTCCATTGCCTGGGTGCCTGGGTCCATTAAGGGGGCGCCTGGGTCGATTACCTGGGTGCCTGGGTCCATTGCCTGGGTCCATTGCCTGGGTGCCTGGGTCCATTGCCTGGGTCCATTGCCTGGGTCCATTGCCTGGGTCCATTGCCTGGGTCCATTGCCTGGGTCCATTGCCTGGGTCCATTGCCTGGGTGCCTGGGTCCATTGTTTGGGTCTATTGCCTGGGTCCATTGCCTGGGTGCCTGGGTCCATTGCCTGGGTCCATTGCCTGGGTGCCTGGGTCCATTGTTTGGGTCCATTGCCTGGGTCCATTGCCTGGGTGCCTGGGTCCATTGTTTGGGTCCATTGCCTGGGTCCATTGCCTGGGTGCCTGGGTCCATTGTTTGGGTCCATTGCCTGGGTCCATTGCCTGGGTGCCTGGGTCCATTGTTTGGGTCCATTGCCTGGGTCCATTGCCTGGGTGCCTGGGTCCATTGTTTGGGTCCTTTTTAACTCTAAAACTTAAAACACATATAACTTTCTATAGAAAGCGCCCTTGCAAAAAGGGAAAACAGATTCGAAATCAGCGCTAATTTTGCGTTCAATGGTCTTATTCAAAATGGTCTATGGCTTTTTCAAAATGACCAAATCCCATTGTTGTCTTTCCCTTGTGAGTACCGAAAACTTACAACGATTTAACGATAGCGAAAACTCAGCTTTTAGGCACTCCCCAATATTCACCATCAATCTCTAGATAAATCGTGAGAATTGTTTTGTTTTTTTCTTTTCTTTGGAAACTTTTACATTTCAAAATCTTTCCTTTTAATAGTCTTTTACTAAAAATCGTTTTAAATCGTTAGTTTTAAAATGTTGTCATTTTAGTTCATTCCTTCTCTCTTCCCAAACAACATCAACTCTTCCTGCAAGTGTGCCTCCAATAAAGGGTTCCTCATTACCCCCAAAAGCCGCCCCAGAGGACACTTCTGTTTGAAAAAGAAAGAGGAAAAGGAGGAAAAGAGAAATTTCCACTTTGTACAAATTCTATTTTTTTTTCTCTTTTTGTGCTTTTTCTCACGTGGTATCTACGGAAACTTTTTTCGACTTATTTTCAACATTTTTCAACTTTTTTCAATGAATTCTCGCTCTTTTATTCTTTTTATTTCAATTATGAACTTGAATTGATTGAATTGAATTGATGGAATTGAATTGATGGAATTGAATTGATGTGAATTGAATTGATTGAATTGATTGCTTGAATTGAGCTGCTTGAATTGAGCTGCTTGAATTGAGCTGCTTGAATTGAGCTGCTTGAATTGAGCTGCTTGAATTGAGCTGCTTGAATTGAGCTGCTTGAATTGAGCTGCTTGAATTGAATTGCTTGAATTGAATTGCTTGACTTGAATTGCTTGAATTGAGCTGCTTGAATTGAGCTGCTTGAATTGAGCTGCTTGAATTGATTGCTTGAATTGAATTGCTTGAATTGAAATTTCAACTCTGAAAACTGCTTGAACGTTTGTATCAAATGTTTCAAATTAATTTGTGCTAAATTTAAAGCTGAGCTCATGCTAGTCTTCAGAATTTTCAATCAATATTTTCCTATTTTCCAAGTTTTGTAAGAGCTCTAAGTTCTCTGTCTTTTTCTTTCATTCCAAATTTCAAATTTCTTTTGTGTTGTGTGCTCAACAATAGATTTAATAAAAAACTAAAAAATGCACCTAAAAACACTTAAATTCTTGAAAATATTGAAAATATCTTATAAAATTCTTCTCTACCAAGAAAAGCAGAAAGTTCTTGTCAGTTTTGTTATGGCCAACTATAAGAAAAAGCTTAATCTATCTTGTTTTAGTGTTTTACAATGAAAATTTTACATTTTACAGATCAATTTTACAATCTTCGATTTTAAAATGTTCGGTTTTTCTTAAAAATCTTAGTCTTTTGAAAAAAAAATAGGTTTTTTTATTGTGAAAAGCTATCATATTTAAAATTCAAAGCCAATTCGATTTTCTTGGTACTTTTCTAGGGACAAATAGTTAGAATAAACACCGCCAATAGCTTCTACAACCCGGAAAATACCGGGGAACAAATTTTTAACACTCAACCTCATTTGGGAATCATTTACAGAGCAAAAGAGAAATTCTTTAAATGGCTGGCTAGGTGCTCTTTGTGCGGCGGCCTAATCGCTCGCGATCTGGCAAACGCCTCTGGCATTAGGGACTTCTCTTTTGGAATCGGTCATCCATCAGTCTAGAGCGTCAAAGTCAAATCCATTCGTTATTATTCTCTTATTATGCTCTTTGTGCGGCCGCCTAATCGCTCGCGATCTGGCAAACGCCTCTGGCATTAGGAACTTCCCTTTTGGAATCGGTAGTCCATCGGTCGAAATCGTCAAAGTCAAATACATTGGTTATTTTACTCGAATCCTCGGTGAGGGTAGGTCCTAAGTGAGGGTCGATCCTAATTTCGGACCTAAATTTGACCGGTGAGCGACTGAGCCAGTTTCACCGTTTTTCCACAGTGTCTGTATGCCCAAACTCTTGCGATCAATTTTTGCTATGTTTTCTACAAATTCTAGCCGAACCTAGCGGCTCAAAATTTTCGGTTTATTCCTGAACCGTTCCGTTTTCAGTTCCTCGTTGTTTTTGTTTGCTTTTCAATCTCCCAATTATATATATCTCCTTTCAAAAACCTTCCCATCATTCACTTCCCTTTTGGACTCGGTAATCCATCAGTCGAAATCGTCAAAGTCAAATCCTTGGTGAGGGTCGATCCTAATTTCGGACCCAAATTTGATCGGTGAGCGACTGAGCCAGTTTCACCGTTTTGGGCGTCACTATGCATAGCTATGCCAAACTCTTGCGATCAATTTTTGCTATGTTTTCTACAAATTCTAGCCAAGTCTAGCCGAACCTAGCGGCTCAAAATTTTCCGTTTATTTCTGAACCGTTCCGTTTTCAGTTCCTCTTTGTTTTTGTTTGCTTTTCAATCTCCAATCTCCAATCTTTCAATCTCAATCAATCAATGCAATTCAATGCTTTTCAATCTCTTCAATCTTCAATCAATCAAAACTCAAATTCAATTTCAATTTCAATTTCAATTTCAATATATCTCCTTTCAAAAACCTCCCCATCATATAAATGCTTTATTCAGGAAATGAAATAAAGTGCGCAAAGATAGAGGGGATAGAGAGTCGGAGTTTCACGACTCTTCTCTTCTCCCATATTTGAACTTCCAATTGACCGATCAACTTGTGGTTGGTCTTAAAATGTTCCTTATGAAATTGTGCAGATGAATTCATACGCATACACACGAAAAGAACCGTAGAAAGCAATACGATATTGTTATAAATGTTATAAAATGTATCTAATAATAAAATTGAACAAAAAACAACTGAAAAACAAAAACAACTGTCTTATATAATTATATAATATGCTTATCTAAAATACACGTGCCCATTTCATTTTCCCTATCTAAACATTTGCTTAACGTTGCATTTCGGAGTGCTTATTTTCGAAAACATTCATCTAAAAACTCTTCGAAAAAGTCCATATTTCTCGGAGCATTAGGGCAAAAGAATCGGAAGAAAAAGCGCCGATTTTAAGCTCTCCCATTCCTTTTTCTGACTCAACCATCTATTACCTCGGCTTTTTCTTGGTGATTTTTGAAAGTTCAGCTTTTGGGTTATTTACTTAAATCTCTCTTTTTAAACTTTTTCGTTTTTAGAAGTTCATAGAATGCTCGTTTTGTCTACTAGTATCTGCTTCCAATACGGTTCCAATACGGTTCTTTTTTCAATACGTTCCAATACGCTCCGGTTCCAATACGGTTCTTTTTTTCAATACGTTCCAATACGTTCCGGTTCCAATACGGTTCCAATACGGTTCCAATACGGTTCTTTTTTTGATCTAATACGGTTCCAATACGGTTCTTTTTTTCAATACGTTCCAATATTGTCCAGTTGGCTGACTGGTTAGGAGTCTTGTCTCCTAATCGGAAGAGTCGAGGTTTCGATCTCGCTGGCAAAATCAAGTGTGTTCTTTTTCCCATTAAGTTGGGTTTTTTCTTAACTACATTGTAGGGGTAAAAATTGTGTCCTCCGTTGTGTTGTATCTACTTATTCATGTTGAATAAAGTATCTTTAATACGCTCCGGTTCCAATATGGTTCCAATACGGTTCTTTTTTTGATCTAATACGGTTCCAATACAGTTCCAATACGAGCTCTTTAAAAAGTTTTCACGTTTTGCTTTACTGACAAATGGAAGTTCTTTTTTTCATACACAACTAAAGCAATTTGTGATTGGATTAGAGTACAAATATTAAAGAAATTTGATGTTTTTCTGGACAACACTTGAAGTTGTTCCAATGTTCCATTGGCTTCATTGTTCCAAAAAGCCAAAAGAAGTATATAAGCCGAGGATTTTGGTGGAAAGATAGAAAGAAAAGAAAGAAAAGAAAAGAAAATATAAATTTCATGGCATCTCTCTTATCAAATTTACATTAATTTCCTATTATCAGTTTAATTTGGTAATTTTAGTTTAAAAATTGGACTTTTTTGACGGTTCACCTAAAGCTAGCTAGCAATTTTTTTGGTTTTGAATTCCTAGGAACGTTGGATTGCTTTGGATTGCTCAGGTTGGCGTTTGGATTGCTCAGGTTGG